TCCTCCCTCCTCCTCTTCGTCGTTGTTTGGTCACACGGTGGCGCTTGGCGCTCCACTCTGGGGCGGAACGAACGCGAAATTGTCGGCGCCGCGCTCGCTCGTGATGATGAGGGGACGCGGCGACCTCTCCGCGGCGCGGGGGACACGGGAGCGGCCAGCTCCGCGGCAACTCGCTCTTCCTCTGGCCGCTACTACAGCAGGGGTTTTAATTTTACAGAAACATATTGTCATGGGAAACTTGTCAAGATTCCTTTTAAGCGTCTAAAGTTCATTTATATTTTCACTTTTTTTTTTAAGTTGAGGATTCCCCTATCTCCCGGCTGGTACCACGCCCGGCCTCGGTCGGGTTCGTTCGCAATGGTCCCGCAGCGCCCGTGGAAATCACCTCTCTCTCGCGGTTTGAGGCGCCGCGGGTCGCGCCTGGTCGTTGCACTCCACCCGAGGCTCGTGCCGTTCCCTCGGGACCCGGCGCGGCGCGCTGCTCGCTGCTGCGCTCTGGCTCGGCCGGGCCTCCTCGGGACGGGGAGCCCCTGTGGGGCGGGCCGCGCCGCTCGGCACGAGTGCGGCCGGCCTGCCTACCCCGCGGGGCGCTCGGCCTCAGCGCCCGGCCCAGCAGCCACACACCGAGACTCCCGGTCTAACGGTCTAACCGAAGCGCCGTGCAGCGATGAAATGTTTCGTCACCAACAACAACGCGTCCGTTTGCGTCGTTTTGTCGACGGAGCAAAGGCGTTCCTTAGTCATGTTTTGTCGACTGAGGAAGGCTTTGTGGAATTTTTCTCAGTGCGTGAAACCCTCTACACTCTCACGCCGTTTGTGCTGAGACTGTCGAAAAGTGGCCTGCTGGACTCTTTGCTGACCTCCCCCTTTTCGTTCCGTTTGTTGCAGCAACTGTTCCGCAGCCAGCAGCAACAGCAGCAGCAGAGCGCGCCGCAGCAGATCCAGTTGCTGCAGCAGCAGCAGTACCTGGCCACCCAGCAGCAGCAGCAGCTGGGTATCGCCGCGCCCGCCGCCACCTTCACCAGCGCGCCCTACCTCATCAACGCGCAGGAGCCTTACCTCATCGCTGGTATGTCATGTAAACCGCGTTAAAATCGTACCTTTCACTAGCGAAGTTGAACAATTAATAAACAAGTTCATTGCTGCGTTTAAATTTGCCCTTTTTAAATGCTGTAAAATGTTCCATGAAAAAGTCCTGCTTTAATTTTTTTTAATTTTTATTTTGTGAGTTTTTGTCCTTTGTCACGGTCTTTGCGTCGTTCCTCTTCCTAACAAAATTGTCTGTTGCAGGGCCGACCGTAGTACCCCAGTACTATGGCATGGGACCATGGGTGTACCCGGCCAACATCATCCAGCAGGGTGCTGCGGGTGCGCCTCAGCGGAGGCCCCTCACACCCTCCTCGTCCACCGAGCTCAGCAACAGCACCACCAACCTCACCCAGGTAGGCGACGAGGACGTCAGCCTCAGCAGCGTAGATATGGGGCGTGTTTTCTCACCACATGCTCGCTTTTTGCCGCGCAGGTTCAGGGCCAGTACCAAGTTATCCCTGCCTACTATGACCAGAACGGTTCCATAGTGATGGGCAACGTGCGGGGGATCGGCAACGGCACCCCGATGAGACTCGTATCTCCAGCACCTGTGATAGTGAACGCCGGCACCCCCGGCGGCAACATGCGCCTGTTGGGCAGCCAGCCCCAGCAGATCGCGACTCCCCCGGCGGCCTCGTCCATCTACAGCGGGAACCAGCCCGGCTCTCTCTACTCAAGTTCAAACGGGACCACCATTGGCGGTACGTCGAGCTCTTTCTTCTCTTTGTAATTTATTGTTGCCTCTGTTTTGGGTTGGAGGTCTTACTTGCTTTTTTTGGTGTCAATACCTGTATTTGTGGTTCTTCTTGGTCAGAATGGTCTCTTTTAACCTACTTGTCGTTAGTTTTTTCTTTCTCCTGTTTCTTTTAATTTGTATTGAAGTTTATTCGTGCTGTTCTTATTACTCACTAAATTAATGTTCTTCGCATGTTTGTTGTCATGCAAATATGATTAGTGATACTGAAACAGAGTACTAATTTGACAGTTTTTGTTTGTTATCTTCATTTGTAATATTAATGCATGCGGTAATTCATCGGAGCTCATGGAGCAAAGGCCTGCTCTAATGATATTCTTTGTGTTTAGCCATAGAACTGACATGCCTTTTATCAAAAATGTAATGAATGTTGCTTGCCCCTTGGCAAACGCGACTGCTCAGGTGGTGGGTTTGCTTCTCCGTCTGCCTCTCACGGGTTTGGGAGCAGCAACTTGGGCACTATTGGATCACCTGCGAGCCTGTCCTCCCTTGGAGCAGGTACCCTCGTGCATGAGCATGCACTCCATTATTTCCTCAAGATGGCTAACACACACAATATTTTCTCTTGCCCTACACTCAAATCTGCATTCACTGGAAGCTAAAGCCTGTTGTCACATTTGCCTTTAGATTCATAATTGCATGCTATGCAACATTATAACACTTTCCAATTTTGTTTAATTTGAAAACAAGATTTTCCTATATTCACTCGTATTCATTTGAAGTGCACACATTTTCACTTCTTTCTCCTTAACTGCATGGCTTTAATCTCTTAGTAATCTGCATGGTTGTGCCATTTTTGTGGGCAAAATTATAGTCTCTTGGTGCTAAGAGCTCACTTGTAATTTAAGCTTTTTACACATCTCTATTGATCGCTTTCACACCACAAGCAAGTTTGACTCCATTTTCTTGCATATTCACTAGAGTCTTGTGCCGCACACAGAAGTATTAGTTCCAAATATCTATTTTTCTTGAAATGAAGAGCCACTTCTGTGTTGTTCATTAAAACATTCACATCACTGTTTGGTGTGATTCCACCACAAAAGAGTCTGTTTGCTGTAGGGAAAATCAGTTTTTGTTGGTCTTGCATTACAACTCATGAACCATGCTGCTCACTGATTTGAAAGCCTTTAAGCACTGTTGCTACTACTTCTAATGATATTTCTATATACCAAATACATGCTCTGGTTGTCACAATGTTTCAAATGATTAATTGTATTCTGGTGGCCTGGTAGGAGTGGACGTGTCAGGCACTGGCCTCGGTCTGGGCACAGGCAGTACAGGCAGGCGAGACTCATTTGACCGCAACACATCTGCATTCTCGCCATCACTTGAGTACAACAGGGGGAAATGGCCGCAGAGCTATGGTGCATTAGGTTAGTACTGATAATTTGTAATGTTGATTTTGAGGATGTGCATGCCTGGTTTATTCTGGTTTTAAATTCTTCCATTCCTTGAGTTATGTTGACTATACTTTTCATGTGGAACTGTGGTTTAGATAAATTATGGCTTGATGTGACTTCAACATACAGTTTATGTCATTGAAAATTTTGTGTACTTTTCTCTCTAGGAACAGTAACTGCATCTCAGAGCCCTTTGGGATTGACTTCCGGGTCTTTAACGCCACCACCACAATCTCTCTCGGCCATGGGTAGTTCATCAAACTTGGCGTTAGGAACATTAATGGGAGGAGCTGTAAACCACCGCAGTAGTCTGTTATCTGCTGCTCCTGGAGCTGAAGCCGCTAAATTCCGCAACGGAAATGTTGGTCCCCACTTGGTCTCACATGGGCTCACAGCCAATGGCATGTTTGGCTCCAGCTCCTCTCTCTTCAGTAAGTTTGGAGCCACAAACCCTCGAGGAACTGTTGGCTCAGGGCTTGAGAAACCACCAGGCAGAAGTAGACTACTTGAAGATTTCAGGTAAATATTTTTTTTTGCTTATTTTTATTGCTTTGTTGAATAATCTTTGTACTTATGAAGTTAAACCATAACATGTTTGTATCCATAGGTGTAATCTAATCGTACCTTGTTCTTTTCTCAGAAATAACCGGTTTCCCAGCTTGGGCTTACGAGATCTGGCAAATCATATTGTTGAATTTTCTCAAGATCAACATGGATCTCGTTTCATCCAGCAAAAGCTTGAGAGGGCTTCTGTTGCTGAGAAGCAAATGGTTTTTAATGAGATTCTCTCAGCAGCTTATAACTTAATGACTGATGTATTTGGCAACTATGTCATCCAGAAGTTCTTTGAATTTGGAACCCCTGAACAGAAAACAACTTTGGCACAAAAGGTGAGTTAAGTCAAAAACATTAGCACAGTTTTATCTATCTATTTACTATTCCTTTATTTATCTATAATTAACTTGTCTTCTTATTTTTAATCAGGTGCGGGGTCATGTACTACCACTTGCACTTCAAATGTATGGTTGCCGCGTAATTCAGAAAGCCTTAGAATCCATCTCCCCTGAGCAACAACAGGAAATTGTGAATGAGCTGGACGGTCACATTTTGAAATGTGTGAAAGATCAGAATGGAAACCATGTTGTGCAGAAATGCATAGAATGTGTAGAGCCTCATGCCCTGCAGTTTATCATTAATGCTTTCCAAGGCCAAGTGTATGCTCTTTCAACACATCCTTATGGATGCAGGGTCATCCAACGCATTCTTGAGCACTGCACTCTGGATCAGACTGCTCCAATCTTGGAAGAACTTCACAGCCAGACAGAGCAGTTGATTCAGGATCAGTATGGAAACTATGTTATCCAACATGTATTGGGTAAGTTTAAATAACATTTCAGTATCTTGTTTGTTTTCCTCAACCCTACTCGTCTTTAATATTTAGTTTTTAACTAATTTATTTTATCAGAACATGGAAAACCGGAGGACAAATCTCAAATCATCAATTCTGTGAGAGGAAAGGTGCTTGTACTGTCGCAGCATAAGTTTGCATCAAACGTGGTGGAGAAATGTGTTACTCATGCAACACGTGCTGAAAGGGCATTCCTGATAGAAGAGGTGTGCAGTTTCAATGACAAGTGAGTTTTTCTCTTCTAGTTGCTCATCTCATGATCCTTTCACATCTCCTGTTAACCAGTGTATCTAATCATTCCTTTTTCTTTTCACAGTGCATTGCACGTTATGATGAAAGATCAGTATGCCAACTATGTTGTTCAGAAGATGATTGATGTGTCTGAGCCTGCACAGAGAAAAGTGCTTATGCACAAGATCAGGCCACATCTTAATTCACTCAGGAAATATACATATGGCAAGCACATTATTGCCAAGCTGGAGAAATACTTCATGAAGACTGCTAATGCAGTGAATGTTGGAGGCGTTGGTGTTGTTGGAAGTGACCTTGGGCCTATTGGACCTCCACCCAGCAATGGAATGTAATGAGGGCTCTGAAATAGGAAAGCCAAAGCCTTCCCTCAGAAGTTGCCCACTACTGAGTCTTTGGCCTCCATTCAACCTTGCTTCATAGTTTGGTGGAAAGTTATGGGGGAAATTCAAGGTGTTCTTTTTCTCTTTCAATACTGTATGTGCTCTTTTTTTTTACATTTACTTATGTGACAGATAGTTCCCTGTGAGTAATTACTTTTAGTATTTTAACTCTGGAGAAAGTTAATGGTTATCTTTCCATTGAGTATGGCATAGTGACTTGTGCAGAAATAATATCTGAAAGGATTGTGGACCAAGAACAGACAGGACAGCCCTTGGACTTTTACTATTGTATACCTGTGTACATTAGGGGCAAGTTGATCATATTTATTTTAAATTATTTTAATTTTTTTTTTTTTTTCATGTAGTCCATAGAAAGCTGTACAGATACTTCCATTGATCTTTAGGGGCTGTGTTTTTCATTTTACAAGACCCTGATTAGTTCATGCCTCAATTCTTATGAAATTTAGTTAGGCATGCTGGAAAATTAAAGTTAAATTCTCTGAAGTTGTGATACACACTCAGGTAGTAAATCGAGGCTACAGAGTTTGAGCTCTATGTAATAGTAAATCAATCTCATTTGTGCCTCTTAGTGGTCACTCTATCCTTAATGTCTCCATGACACTACCAGTTAATTATGCAACCATAAGAGGTCATGAATTAAACAATTATATTGCCTGAAACTGTAAATTTAGAAGCAGGGTACCAAATATTTTCAAATGTGACTGTTCCTCAAAGAAGAATGAATACAAATCCTGAAGTAGCCTGCAAGGTAGACATCAAGGAAGTAGTAGTATGTAGTATACCTGAATATCAAAAAAGGACCAATGTAGACTACATTTCCAGCTGTAAATGTCTTCTAGACCTGATGTCTTGGCTCTTCTGAAATTCCTCTTACCGCTCAAAAGTGAATGCCATTTTCCAGTGAAACTTCTTCTGAGAGACCGTGTGCTTCAAACTTGACAGTACATGAACGTCCCAATATTCAAAATTATTAGGATGTACAAGTAAAGTGAAAGTTATTGCCTGTTTATTAGTGTAAAAACTGTATGTGTAGAACTTAATTTTTTCATAAGTGCAGCAAGCAAGTAAACCAATCAAGGAATGTAAATATATTGACTGTTGTGTAGGTGTAAACAATATTTAAAGTATCTTTGACATGGCATTTATTTGCTTTCATGTATCATTGTCCTTGGTTATTTGAAAAATGAATTTGTTTTAATGATTTCCTAATATTATTTTTTTATTTGCCCTATTGTACAGTCATTGACTGCCCTTCTCCTAATGTTCTCATTGTGCAGCATGAATAATTGTGTGATTGTAAAAATGAAAAATTAGTACACTTTTTATCAATTGTGTATTGTATGATTTATAAATATGGAGCAATCAAATTGTAAAATTGGATCACTGACATGTGTAAACATTTTTAAAAATTGGAATATGATGCATTGTAAAGTGTACAGGCAAAAATTTGAACAGAGATATCCCAAATTATTTTTATTATTGACTTCATTTGGACTCTGTATTTAAGTCAGGTACAGAAAAGGGATTTGTTGTTTAGTACAGGTGTCTATTTAAAGCATTTACTATGTATTAAACATTGTGTATTCAGCGGTCTGTCTGCAAATTCCAAATGCAACTACCCCAACTTGCTTTTAAAGTAAACATAACTTCTATTGTTTGTAGGCGAGTTTAATCCATAGTTTTCTATTTGTAAGATGCTAATCTTTAAAGTAATTAAATTTAGCTTCTAAACTAGCGTTAGTGTTTTCTCAGATTCTCCTTTATTCTATGTCCAACAAGTTTTTGAACTATTCCTGTACACCTGTACACTTTTTCTTATAGACAATTTGTATATTGGTCATACTGTTATTCCTTACATTTGGAGTCAATTTTACCTTCCCTGGAATTAACTATGTTAATGCATTTTCATCTTGTAATTATTTTCAGCTTTGTAAGTACAAAAATCTCGCATTGCATTTGTTAATTCTGTAATTTTTAAATTTGGTGTGATAATCAAATTCCTGTTAAATCATCCTGCTCTGATGTGGAAATGAGGCATTGTACCAAACACAATGTTGTCAGCAGCTTTCCTTTTGATTTTGCCATATGCTTTCTCTTTAATTCTGTAAAAAAAATAAAAATGGTCCCCTCTTATTAGATCTGTGCTATGTTATATTCATACCTAATGTTTCTTGCATTGCACTGTTGGATTCAAACTGAAATTGTATCCGAAAATACTTTATGAAAGCATATGACTGTTATAACTCAGCATCAATTGGTCCATTTCCCAGGAATCGTGTATATGGATATGTATATTTTCATGTGACTTAACTCAAAAGATACCAGTTTTGTGATTATTCTGATTTTTGGTGAAAGACAATTTGTTTCTTAGAACTGGACACAGTTCAGAAATACACTTTGTTTGGCATGTCTCTAAAATTTGTTTTGTGTGTGTTCTAGCTTCCTTGCACAGCTCTTCTGACTGATAGTTTCTCTTTCCCAGTGTCTTTATGACTAAGAAAGCTTGATTGTCTTTCACTAAAAATTACATAATCTTGGCAAATTTTTATCTCTCTTATTGTAAAATACATGCAACTTGAATCTATATGGCTTGTAATTATCTTTGTAGAACTTGTAGCTATGAGGGTCTATCCCTTGCTCTCCACTATGTGTTTTTTTTCTACATATTGTAGTATATATACATAACTACTTATTGTATATTGGTCTGTAAGTGTAACAGCATTCATTATAATTAAGCTTGAGCAATGTCACCTCTATGTGCGAATCGTTTGGGTCCTATTTCAATTCATTTTCTAAAAGACATGTAGGGCATGCAGAAAACTGTGTTTTCTAGTTGCTTCTCCCAAACTTCGCATTCTTGATCATTTTTGGACTGGCTTTAAAGAGGCGTTTGCTTTCCACATGTTTTATTTTATCATTGTAAGTGTCTAGACAGTAAGTGATAGTAAATGTTTCTTCAGTTTGTGTGGCATAAGAAGTGGTTATGATTGCTGTATATACTTCTGTATTTAGATTTGTGTGGTAATTTTCAAATTTAGATGAAATAACTAATTAGAATGTTTTCCACAATCACTGTCTATTGATTATGCCTAGAACATGTGTAATAAAATCATGAAAGTAAGTTATATATAGTTATTATTAAATCACGTTGTGTCAAGACTGATGTAAAGTAAAAAACTAAACAAAAGCATAACAAGAAACTTGCATGATCAGCATTAAATGTTTTTGTGTTTTATAAATTAAATGTGACAGACATCAACAGACAGGCTGCATTAAGGTTAATTCCCTTTGTACACTTAAAAATGAACTGCTTTGCAAAATGCTGATTTTGCACCAGTAAGAAGGGATTCTTGTAAAAAATATTATTTTACTGTTTTTATTGTTCATTCCTAAATCATTAAAACATGCAAAGTAACTCTAAGTACTTTCTTTCCTCTCCCTTAGTGTTACTTTTTTAAAGAATTGTTGTCTTAGGTGCACATAGAACAAATTACTAGTTGTAGTGAGGCACTTGTGAATACATTGTGAACCCAACAGATTTGCTTTTAATGTTTTGCTTGGCCACTTTTGTGCTGACAGTGGCTGTCTCAATTTCAAAATCCCTCAGTGTCAATGACTTGGGATCATTGTTCCTCAGAACATGAAATAAATCTCTTTGTATTGCTTACCTCTGATTTTTCCCCTTTCTTCCAAAGATAAAAAATCTCATGATCTCTGAATTTAAGGAAGATTAGCTGCCACCTCACAAGCATAAGTTTCCCAATCTAATTGAAAGACAGTCGTATCAGAGTGCAGTGAATAACAAATCACTTAGGAATTTTATTTCTGACTCTGTTGTTTGTGGCATGTGCTTCATTACCGCTAAGTTCTGAGCAAGACAACTTTTTATGCAGTACCTCACCCTCCACATTTAGGTAGATTCTTATTGAATATTAAGTGAGAAAGGAATTCTTGTGGTAGCCACGAACTCAAAGATCTAACAGTGACATTTTTAGGAAGGCATTACTGCTTAAAGACTTTTTTTTTTGCAGTTGATACTTTATGTATGTCCTGAAAAATGTCACCATGGAGTCTATTCTCTGGTTCCCCTTAATTTTCATACATTCACATTACTTTGGTCGTATATACCTGAGACAAATTACATGTAAAAATTATGTACAGAATGTACCAATTTAGAAGTGAAGAGTATAATAAATAATTTTACACAATGACTTTGTCTTGTTCATTTATGCACAATACCCGACTGAAAAAATCGACTGGGAACGAAAGGTGATACTGTCGGGACACCCTCAAAATAAAATGGGGGAAGAACCACCCCACCCCACCCAGTCGTTGACCGACCGTAGCGCACCTCACGGCATCTACCAGAAACAGAAACAGAAACACCTACTGCAAATAATTAATTGTTCTTATCCGCACTGCACTGCGCTATTTTGTGGGGGAAATCAAAGCACCAGGAGTCAGAAATTGTTTTCCCCTCCCCCAGACAGTTTCTCTCTCTATTTATTAAGTATTAATTGCTATTCGAAATGCTTTTGGAAGCGTTATAGCTAAAGTCTTTACCATGACTGGAGATGACACCTGTGACCGGTCCCTTGATGAGAACTGCAGGACTCTGAACCTGCAAGTGTTTGGTGAGAATACTAATGATCTGTTTTGCTTTAGTTTTACCCCAATTGTTAATATTGATTTTGTTTTTAACTCCTCCGCAGTTTGTAGCGTATGTGGAGAGGACCACGAAAGTATTGATTGTTCTGTAGTTCAAAATCTTAAACGGGTAAATTGAATTGTTATTAAATGTGTCGCCTTCCATACTTTATTTGTCCCTCCTCTGCCTTTCACAACTACAACTAAATTTTATCTGCATCCTTCCACACCTCTTATACTTCTTTGCAGATCCATGATTCCAAGATTTTGTCTCGTGCGAGGCAGACTCTACCCAAGGACTTTGCCGTAAAATCTCTGGCTGATGGAAGTACAACTGTTATTACCAATGTGCGCATTGACCAAGGTACTCAGTTTGGCCCCTTTCAGGCTCCTTTGTCAATTGATTTGCCACCTGCTGTATTGTTTCCTCTCAAAGTGAGTTAGCCCTTCAAATACATTCGCACATACAACTTTGTTAATTTTGAGGCAAAGATCTTAAACTTTTATTTTATAATAATTTCATTCAAGGTCTTTGGCAAGACACTAGATGATGGCTATTATTTGGATACTTCTGATGAAGAGTGTTGCAATTGGATGTGTCTTGTAGCCCCAGCCTCTAATACCAGCGAACAAAATCTTATATGTTATGACGTAAGTTTAACAAAATCTGTTGTGTTCCTCCCAGTTTCTCTTTGATATTTTTAATGTTAGTGTCTTTACATAGGTCAAACAAAGCATTTATTTTGCTACAACAAGAGATCTAGAACCAGGAGAGGAACTACGTTTGTGGTATGCATTGTACTATGGACTGAAGCTTCAAGCCCTACCTTTGTCTGATGAATCAGCCCAAGAGGTAATTACATCCTTTATTAACTGTCATATTGTTGAAATTCTAGCCCATGTAATAAGTGTATTTATTTGTAATTATTATGTTTAGGATGGTTTTTATGACCTGATAGATGAGGAGAAGCAGGGGAAATCAAATGGTGGTGTGTGTATGATGCTAGGTAAGAATGCCAAGATTTAAATCATAACATTCTTTAAGATTTCTTGTCTAAGAAGAGAAAACTACTTTAGAAATAACTTTTTCTTAGGGGATGATCTTCTCCAAACATTAACTGAACACTTACCAGCTCATGCCCTTGGAGCTTTTGGAGAAAGGGATGTATGGATATGCAAGTTGTGTGGGGTACAAGAATCAAACGTGGCAAGCTATGCTCGCCACCTTATGGTTCATTATCGCCAACCATTGCATAATAATCGACATCCACAATGCACTATCTGCTTTCGGCGTTTCTTCAGTAAAAAGGCATGTTGCGTACAGTATCTGTCAATATCAGGCATCTGCTAAGTTTGCATTTTTCCCTCAATATTATACATCTATTTCTTCTATCAGATATTGGACAACCATTTACTGAAACATGAAAAATGCAATATGTCGGACATCGAAACTTCAGAAACAGCCCTTAATAACAGCATTGAATATAAGCAGTTCCCTGAAAATATTAATGGGGCAGAAATACCCTCATGTGAAGAAACAACAGATGGAGGCACAGTTTATAACAACGGAGTTTTAAATGATGACAGTAAAAATGCACACATTAATAGATCAAAAAGTTATTTTTGTCATGAGAAAGAATCATTATTAAATTTAAATAATGGTGGCAAAGGTGAAAATGCTGAAAATGAATCTGAAGAGGAACAATCTGAGGTGTCTCATTCATCACCTGATAGCTTTATTAAACCGAAAGGACTTGATATGACTCTTAACCCAAAATTACATGAAGAAAATGTTGGAAATCTTATTTCATCAACACAAATTAGTAACACAGAAGACTTGGTGATTCATTCAAGCAATGGACAAAGCTTTGCCACATCCATCAATTTACGCTCATCTCAAGACATTGATCTTGCTTTAGAAAATGGAGAACCTTTAACGTTTGTGATGGTTGAAGCAACTGATAAAAACGACCTACCATCTGTTCCTTTTGTAGATAACTGTGTCAAATTGAAAGACACTTCATCTGTGAACAACTTATCATCTAACACTGAGGAATTATCAAATGCAGATGTTTCTAATGAACAGTTACATCAAGAGCCATCTGAAAAACAAAGAACTTTGTTTAACTGTGATATATGCGAAAAGTCTTTTAGCAAAGGTGCCTATCTTTATCGACATCTCCGCAAGCATACTGGTGAGTTTACTTGTGTGACCTGCTTAGCTGTGTTTGCTCGTAAAGAAAATTTGAAAACTCACTCCTGTACCCAGCCTAGAGAATGGTTTCCGTGTCCTACATGTGGAAGAAAATTTTCAGCCAAAAAATATCTTCAGAGACATGTTCCTATACACACAGGAGAGTTCACTTGTTCAGAGTGTAACCGCCATTTTGTGTCCAGACTTTCCCTAAAATACCACAGATGCAATGTTAGTAGAAATAAATCTGGAAATGTTACCATTAACTGTATAATGTGTGACAGAATATTTAGTACAGAATCAAAGCTAAGAGCACATCTAAAGGTTCATTCTGATCTAAAATCAACAGTTTTTAATAAACCCATGTTTTTAAAATCATCTCATAATGTTGAAAGGCTACTTAAAAGAAAAGATGTAAAGGATAACAGTGAAAAGCAACCAAACAATATATCTGGAGGAAAGGTATTTATTTGTGAAATTTGTGGGGCCATATTTAAAAGTTCATCAAGTATGAAGACACACAGGTTTTGTCATGGAGAGAGGAAGTTTGAATGTAGCATATGTGGAAAAAGGTTTCATCGGAAGGATGTACTACAAGAGCATTCAAGAGTTCATGAGGAAGCAAACTTTCCCTGTGAGCTATGTGGCAAGAAGTACAAAACTAAGAAATCTCTCTATGTCCATTCGCTTATTCATGAAGGGTCCAAGAGGTTTTCTTGCGGTGTTTGTGCAAAGGAATTTTTCCAAAAAGGGAACCTAATTAAACACGCACAAACTCATACTTCTTCAAGAATATACTGCTGTCAGTATTGTAAAAAATCATTTTCTTCAAAGGAATATTTTAATATTCATCAACTGACTCATACTCAAGGGAATATCTACAACTGTGATGAGTGTAAAAGAGGCTTTGTTAAGGTTTGTCTTTTGCTTCCAGTAACTTATTTTTTTATAAATCTGTTGCTATAGTGTAGTAGCTAATTCTGCAACATTTCCATTTTTCAGAAACATTTACTGGACACTCATCGACAGTCATTTCATTCAAATCGTGGATTTCTCTGCAAATTCTGTAATACTCTTGTACGGCACAGGCATTCCATGCGTCGTCACTTAGAAAAGAGTCATAATGTGCTCCGTGACAAATGGTCAATGCCTGGCTTCATTGATATTTTGCAGACTGAACTTCCACCGAACTTGTTATCTTCTTTTGGAGATGCAAAATTAACTCCTAAAGAGCAACAGGAAAGACAGCACCAAATAGAACTTTTGAGGAAAAAACATTTCCAAAACAAAGTGGCGTCAAGTTTAGGTATAATTCTTAATTATAAGAAAACATGTACAGTCACTGTAATGTTAAAAAGCAAAAGGTATTTAGGAAAATTCGTCTCAAAATCAATCTTACAGGTCCAACATCCGAGTTTGCATATGCTTTGGTACCAGAATCACAACCAAATCAGTTTACCTTGGTTAGTAGCCTTGTCTGACTTGGAGCAGCACTTTTTGTATGATCTACTTCTAACAATTTATTTTTTATCTCTCTAACCAGAGTGATCCCATAATAATGCTTCAACCATCACAGCAGTTAGCACTTGTCAACAATATCCAACCTGGCAATCAGGATGAAACATTTCAAGCTACTAGACAGCTGCAAATGGATTCAGAAGATGCTCCAGGTATGAATCTATCCATTATTTTTACCACTCATCACAGTTTCAAAACAGACTTTGTGAGGAATAGAAGTATACATACTTTCAACAATAGACTTAAAAAAACAATCAAGAAAATACATGACATTTTTAAACTTAAGTTTTTATTGTGAAACTGATATTTCTTTTGGTTGAAAGAAGCAATTTTTCTAACAAAAGTGTTCAATTACTTTCTGCCCTGGAAGGTGAAGTAGTTTTCACTTTGGTGAATCAAGAAAGTTCTCCGAATAGCCCAAGCAATACAACCCCACTTCTAAACTCATCTTCCCTTGCAAGTACTATTACTGACTTTGATTCAGGTATGTTCTTAGTTGTACTATTCGTTTTGATGTACTGTTATAACATTCTTACCTTTTTTTTTTTTTAATCTTGCGTAGGAACCACGTACCTGATGGAAAATGGACATGGTAATGAGAGCATACTTCTGTATGTAGTAGAGACTTCAAATGGAGAAGATGACAATTCAGAGGATTTTTACATGGTGCAGTAGCAGGGTTTGGAGAGGAAGAGTCTGAGGTGAAGCTGAAAGCTGTGAAAGGGAACTTCTCCTTGGCCTCCTTGTGTAAGTATCATATGGGATCACTGGATCTATTGGGCTTGCTCTGACTCTCTGACAGCATAATCTAATAAATCGTTGTTTTAATAGAATATTTTTATGGTTTCTGGCGGAACCAAAAGTAGTTTTGTGGTCCCCTGGTTCACCCTTGTCGATTCGACTACTTTTCCGTCGAAATCCGGACCCATCAATTTTCGCTAAAAACACAAAGGCTATAGCCTTTGTATATTTTGCCAAAAATGAAATCATTAAAAATCGCTGGAAATGATTGGAATTGGCCTAGGAGAGTCGCCTTTGACCTTCTCTGTCGAAATTGCGTGCTTCCTGGCTCTTTTACATCCTGTTTCTTCGACTAAAACTGCCTTTTTGGTTTGTTGCAGGAACGTCAGCCTGGAGGTGTTCCTTCCGTCCTGGACATCGGCCGTGCAGCCCATGGAATCCTCAGATTTAAGTTGAGTTGGTGTCACAGTGATAACCGTTGGGCCAGTTCTTTTTTTTACCCCCCCGTAAATTCACCACCCACATTGTGGAAGGGTCTAGCGGAGCCGTTCCGCTCAACGCTGTGGAGTCAGCGGACCCCTTGCATGGGGACAATACGTGCAACGCGTGACCTCACTGCGTCAATGAGGGGGCTGGACGTGTCGCCCAAAGCCGTCCAAAAAACCTCCCCTCCCCCTGCCCTCCTCCCGGCTGCGGCTGCTGTGGAGGTAGTAGCGGGGTGCC